GGATGTTATCTTTGATGAGACTCGTTCTCCATTCCTCACCCCCCCTCCCACCCTTCCTCCTCCCTCTCTTCATTGGTCTGACTTTGATCCGCTGCCCTATGCTGCTCCCTCTCCTTCTCCACTTCCTCCTCCCACTGCTCCGACTCCCCTCCCTGCCCCCTCCACTCCCCCCTCTACCTTCATCTCCGGCACCTCTCCTCCTCCCTCTTCCTCTTCTGCTCCCATGCCCTCTTCTTCCCAACATCCTTCTCCTCTCCCTCCCTCTGCTCTTGCTTCCCCGCCCTCTCTTTCACCACCTCCTTCTGCTGCTCTTCCTTCTGCTCCTGCTCCTCCACCTTCACCGCGTCTCACCCACTCCATTACCCTTGCAATGTCCTTTTTTCAGCGCTCTGCTATCTTTACTCGTCTCTCTCCCTCTCCAAACGTCGATCTTCTCGAGGATCAATTTGAAGAGTTGTTCTCTGTTCATCCTGTTTCACCCCTCCTCTGTGTCACCATTGGAGATTTCTTCAATTCTCCCACTCTTCTCTTCGTTGACACTGTCACTATTCCCACCCCTCAGACCTACTCCGAGGCCGTGTCTGGCTTTCATGCAACTGAGTGGATGGCTGCCATCATTGCCGAATGTGAGGCATTCACCAGAACTCAATCTTGCGTTGACTCTGTCCCCCCCCCTGGCGCCACCATTGTCAAGGGCAAATGGGTCTTTCGTGTCAAGCAGCTGCCTGGGGAGCTCCCTGTCTTCAAAGCTCGTTACTGCGCCAAAGGTTTCACCCAACGTGAAGGCATTGACTACTTTGCCACTTACTCTCCCACTGCCCGTCTCCCCACTCTTCGCCTCCTTCTTGATCTAGGCGCCCGTTGGGATTGGGAGATTCACTTCATGGATGTCTCCAATGCATTTCTCCAGGGCAAGCTTCATGAACGCATTATTCTTGAGCGCCCCGCTGGCTTTCCTCACCCTTCCCTCCAGGCACTGTCTGGGAGCTGAAGCGACCTGTGTATGGCCTTAAACAGGCCCCGCGCGAGTGGCACGCTAAGCTCGCCTCCACTCTTCACTCTCTTGGCTTCTCTACCTCTTCTTCCGACCCCAGTCTCTTCATTCGCACCTCCCCCCACAGGCTTTACATTCTTGCATACGTCGATGACTTGGTGCTCCTCGCTGAAGATTCTGCCGACCTTGCCGCTGTCAAGCAGGCTCTTCAGGTGCGTCTCCTGTGCAAGGATCTTGGCGAGCTTCGTCATTACCTCGGCATGGATATCCGTCGTAATCGTGCTGCCTGCACCATCTCTCTCTCTCTCAATCCTTCTACGTCGACTCCATTCTTGAGCGTTTTGAAATGTCGCACGCCAAGCCTGTTTCACCTCCTCTTCCCGCAAACCATCAGCTTACTGCACTTGCCGTTCCCGCTCCCTCCTAAGAACCGCGACCTTATCCTGAGCTCGTTGGGTCCCTCATGTATGCTATGATGTGCACTCGCCCCGATCTTGCTTACCCCCTCAGTGTCCTCTCTCGTTTTGTTGGCCTTGATTGCTACACTGACGTGCACTGGGCGGCTGCCAAGCGTGTTCTCCGCTATCTCCGCGCTACCTCTGATCTTGCACTCACTCTTGGTGGCTCTTCTCCCCCTGTTCTCTCCGGTTACAATGATTCCTCCTACGCTAATTCTCGCCCTGATCGCCGCTCCTCCCAGGGTTATGGTTTCACTCTTGGCAGTGGCCTCATCAGCTGGCGCTCTACTCGTTCATCCTCTGTCTGTCTTTCCACCTGCGAGGCTGAATTGTATGCAGGCACATTGGCGGCTCAGGAGGCTCGCTGGCTCTCGTTTCTCCTTGCTGAACTTGGTCACTCTCAGCCCTCTGTAACACTCTCCTGTGACAGTGCGAGCATGATTCACCTCACTGAAAATCCTGTCTATCACGCTCGCAGCAAACACATCGAGGTCCGCTACTTCTTCGTGCGCGAGCTGGTGCAGTCTGGCTTCTTACGCCTTCGCAAGGTGGACGCTACTGCCAACCTTGCTGATATTTTCACCAAGGCCCTCCTACATGCGCCACACCATTTCTACGTGCGCGAGCTTGGGCTCACGCGTCTCTCAGCTTCTGGGGGTGTGCCGGTTCGCTAGGTGTTTTGCTCCAGAGCTTCACCTAGCCTGGGGGTGTGTTGGAGTAGGCTAGAGCTCGCTCTGGCATTTATCATGGTGTTTCTTTATTCTTTCGCCATGTTTAGAGCGAGTTATACTTCCGGTTCAGTTTAGGTTCACTTCTTAGTTTCTAGCACAAACTGAACACACCCTAAGTTCAATTAGGGTTTCCTACTTTTGTCTCTCAACACTTTTTCCTAATCAATCTTTCAACCTATCTTGCTAGCCATGGCTACCACACTCATATTAACAGACAGCAGGTTGTGCACCTGTACAGCGTGGTGCATCGCGTAAGTCCAATAGATCGGCGGTAGCTTCGTTTGCTCATCAGCGCCCGCACCTTCGTCATCAGCGTGCGGTTCGTTCGCTCAGCTGTGCCCTGCTGCTGGTGCGCGTAGGGGAGAGAAATGTGATGCTCGATCCCCTTGTGCGCCAGGAAATCTTGCAGTTCCTTGCTCGTGAACTCCGCTGCGTCGTCAGATTGCCAGATTTTCAGCTTCTCCCCAGATTGCCGCTGCGCGTGCGCTGGCCAGAGGCGAAATACTTCATACGCTCTGCTGCGCTCTTCCACGTTCACGACCCACACATAGCATGTCCCAGCGTCGATGAAGGTGAGTGTGTATAGCTCGTCATTGATTCCGCAGTGCCCTACGTTTAGGAAGTCACTGTACACATTGTACAACTTGGGGTAGCGATTGGTTCCTGGCTCGAGAAGTGAGAACGACTGGTGGCTTAGTGCAGCTTCGGGGCACACAGTGTAGTTGCGCGGATGTGTCGCGCCCCTTACTTCAGTGCCGTCTGGGCGCAGGAGTGCGCCAGGAGCGAAGACGCGCGCTTCAATGCAATTTTTCAGCGTCGCGCATGAGGGGTGTCCGAGGCGCTAGAGCCAGAGCGCATCATCGGCGCGAAAACCGGAGGAGCGCGCGCGAGCTTCTTCGGGGTCTTCGTCAGGTACTGGGGCAGTTTTGCTGCTGCTTCTTCTGCTGCTTCGTCTTCGTCGTTGGCCGTAGTTTACATTAGCGCCAAGAATTCTCTGTCGCAAATTTCGAAAAGGGAGATGTTGGTCCTAGTGATGGTTTCAGAGACGAAGGTGGGTTCACGCGGTTTGGGGGCAGGCCCGTAGATGGTGCGGTGGCTCATTGCCCCAGTGGATGGTGTCCCATGGGTCGCGGTGCGGCTGGATGTCAGGTGGAGGTAGCGCAGGTGCAGTGCAACGCGAGGGACGACCGAGGGGAACAATAACAGGTTCAGCTTTTGTTTCTTCTCCCACCTTCTGTTCTTCGTGGGAAGTCCCCCAGCTGCTGCCTTCGACTTCAGATACAACACCCCAGCCGCCGCTTTTGGTTGCCCAGGTACCGCCAGTATTGCCCAATCCGCCGGTGTCGCTCGTTCCTCATCCACCAACGCTTCCCCACCCCCCTTCATTGGAGGCGCTTTCTTCCTCTTCGGCGCCCCATGTAGCGCATGCGAATGTTCCGCGTGCCTCGGCAAGGCTTTGTCGGTGAAGTTCTTCGGCTTCGTGGCGTGCCAAATCTTCTTCTTCTACCACTGTTAGTTTCTTCGTGGGGTCGCGCCAGTGGGGGTAAACCTTCAGAAATTCTTCATGTGTGTAGGGGCGCGCGACTCCGTGCGCATCGAAGGTTCCACGACGTTGTCCGCGCAGAAGGCCCTCGAGCCGCTGAGAAGGGGGTCCGGCGTGAGGGCTTTGGTTGGTGCCAAAAACGCCCTGCGTAGTTACCGCCAGCTCCAGCGCGGACATGCCTTCTTCTGGTGGCGCGTGTCGCTCAGCTTCGGCGATGGCGGCAAGGCCGCGGCCGGCAATTGTGCTGGTTGAAGCTGTTGGCGTGTGGCAGTCCCTGCAGATGCCGTCTGGGTCAGGGTCGTGCAGCGCCGGTTTGCGTAGGTGTGGGTGATGCGGCACCCACGGACTTCCGTCAGGGTGTTTCCAATCCCTGCGGTCGAAGCGCAGTGGAACGAGTTCGATTAACTCGTTCAAATCTCTGCTGCAGTCGGTAATGTCGAAGTCCAGGATGTACACTCCATTTTTGGAGTGCGCTCTTCCGATCTGCCTGCGAGAGATTGTCAGCGGTTCATAGTGCAGCAAGATGTCGCGTATATCGCGATCCGCGCTGAGGTCAACGCCACAGTCCATGAGCCGAGCGGCGGAAAGCAGGTTGAAGCGCAGGTTCTGGACGATAAGCACGCCATTGAGGGAGATGGCGGCTTCCCCGTGCCTTGAGCACGACGATGCCTTGCGCGCTTGCACGCAGGAGCGTATTGTTGGCCACGGTGACATAGGTGACTGTGGGGGTGGGGACGGCATTGGATATGTAATGCTTGGAGCCCATCATGTGCTGGGGAAGGAGGAAATTGAATGATAACATAACAAGCGCTTTAATCATGTTAATATCATGAATGTATATACATCGCGCAACTAGGCAAGGAAATATTCCCTGCCAACACATAGTCGAAGGATTACATATATATTCCAATGTAAATAAATCTCCAGGTAGAGTATGCCAATTATATGCTTTTTTAGTAATCCAGTACACAAAGGATCCTCCAGCGCGGACGGGCTGGATATTCACCGCACCCCGTCTATCTTCTTTTCTTCTGACGAATGATGACTTGAGCGACTGAGACACCAAATCTGTGCCTCCCAATCCTGTGCAAGTTTCACATTTTCCATGGCGAATCGTAAGGATGTTGGGAGATTTGTTCGTGATAGTAGTTCTGCAGAGCAACACCAACATCAGTTGACGGTATTCGTGGTTTCACGTTTTCCGAGTGACCTTCGCGAAGCAGCACATGGCGGAACAGAAGTCCTGCGGACCCGGAGGTGCTTCTGCGCGAGCCATGGCGTGCTTCCCCCCCGCGGTGCCAGCAGCGCCGCGCCTGCCCCTTGTGCTACTACTAGCTCTACTCCTTCCGACCGTGCTCCTGCCGCGCGACCAACTGCAGCGTGCCACAGCACAAGTACGCGCATCGTCATGAGATCGCCACAGGCTATGCGTCTCTGCGGCTGCTTTAAATCACCTGCGCGCGCACTTTGCGCTTGAGGCGCAAGCACATCGTGTACATTCTCTGTTGCCTCGCCTTCCTCCGCCATCCTTTCTCTCCTCCTCTCTCCCCCTTCCCTCCCTTTCCCATCGCATCTTCTCTGTTCCCTCGCATCGTCCTCGCACGACGCGGCAGTTTCCTGGTGGCGGCAACGATCCTATTTTGCTGGCGTGCAGCTCGGCCGCCACGATGTGCTCCAGTAGCGAGTACAACTGCTACATCTACAACACCTCCTCCGTCTACAACTGCTCCTGCAGCTCCAACTTGCCTGAATGCACCAAATGGAATGGTACGACCCCTGACTGTATTGGTCGTACTGAGATGGCACTGAAGTTCCTGCCCCCCACGCTCCTCCCTCCCTCCCTCCCTCCCTCCCTCCCTCCCTCCCTCCCTCCCTCCCTCCCTCCCTCCCTCTCTCCCGCTCTCCCTCGCACTCACTCCACCACTCCGTCCCCATCCGCCCTCTCCCCGCGTATGTGCAAGGCAGCGCCGGTGCCCCAGTCATGCACGGACCCGACAACCATTCCGTGTGTGCCGGGCGTCTGCCTCTACAGTGGCGCGTCTTTCCAGGGCTGCATCTGCCCCAAAGGCTTCTTCCAAACTGCCTCTGATTTTGGCTCGCCCTACTGCGCTCCCGGTAAACACCCACCCCCACCACTCTTGGGACGCTTGGATGAAAAAAAAGGGTTGATAATTTATTGTTAATATTACTACTATTACTATTATAAATATTATTATTATTATTTCTAGGTCACTAAATTTCAACCCCCCCCCAACCACATTCGACCACTGAAAACACCCCCTCAATCAAATGTCTATCACCCCCAACCAAATTTGCAACCCCAACGCACTCCACCATACGGTATCATCAAGATATTCCAACCAATGGTGACTATCATCACATGCATTAAAGAGCACAATGCTTTCATTTATGTTCCCCCATTCTAGGTACTCACATTCCTCCTTTAGACCCTGGTGATTTAACCTAGCTTGGACAACAAATTATGATTTCTACTCCGTCTACCTCCTCCAATTACGATCTTCATGTTACATCGCCGAGGGCTGTACCACATACGCATATACGGAGGAAGGGATGGAGAGTACAAATTACCTTAGTAGCTTAATTTAAAAGTGTTAATTTTTTGTTAATGATCCCAAAAAGGAGGTGAAACAAGCGAAGTGTCTCTATTGGAAGAATACATTTAGATTTAGTAGTAGTCGTTGCGATGCTTTCCTTGCCGAATGGAACGGCCCGAACACTCGCCGCGAGATAGGGCAGCTTTGCCTGAAGGTACCGAAACACGTAATTAACGGCATTCGCGACATAGAGGGAAAGCTTGCAGCGCGCAAGAGCACGGCACGATGCGGCGATCACTGCAGTGTGCGACAATAGCACGGCAGGGCTGAAAGCGGAACGCGGGAGGATGGAAAACTTTAATGGAGACGAGGGACTCTCGGTGAAGTGTGCGGCCGACGAGGCGATTCAACTCTATTTTGTAGGGATGCGCGTGGCGGAGCGTCTGTGCGAGCACCATTTCTTCCTCAACATGTTTCGAGCCGTCGTTGCCGCCAGGAGCAGCTACGCCCCCGCCAAACGGGACTACGTCAAAGTCGTCGGACTGTTGAAGTGCAAGAAGCGGATCGAAAAAGGGTTGGGGCTTGCTATCAAGACATTGAAGGAAACGGGCGTAACGATCGCCAGTGATACGATGACAGATACGAGCGGACGTGCCCTGATCAACATTTTGTGCATGAACGACACCGATGCTGTCGTCTTTGAGGCGATTGACTGCTGTATGGAGATGAAGAGTGACGCGTACGTTGCCGGCATCATGTGGACGATTGTCAGAGCACGTCGTCGTACTTTGCATGGACGTCGGCAGCAACTAGGCGTCTATCTGCAAACTGCTGCAGCTCGAGTCATCGCATTTCGGAGTTGTCCCTGTTCCCCCCATGTGCTGGACTTGCTGATGGAAGACATCGAGAAGATGGAGTGGGCGCAGGCAGTAGTTAAGCGAGCGAACGATATGATCATGTTCCTCTGCTTCCATCAGTGGACGCGTACCTTCCTAAAAAGCCCCGAACTACACGACGGGAAAGACGTTGCAGGCATTGCGACCGGCATGCACGCGCTCTGGGTTGCAGTACATCGCAGTGTCTCGTGTTTGCGAGCTTTGCCCGCAGTTGATGCAGGTGGTGGTGCATGGCGATTGGAAAGTGAGGGGGAAGAAGAGGACAGCGGAGCATTTCGTGGGGTGGGTGATGGATGGAGCGTGATTGAAGAATGCAGATTTCTTTGTGAACGTCATGGAGCTGCCGTTCATGATGATGAAGAAGAGAGACTCTGCATCTAAAGAGACATTGGGCGTATAATACGACATCATGCTGCATATGACAAAAGAGTTGACAATGTTGCTGGAGGGCGCGGAATGTCGCCTTAGCGAGGAGGAGGTGGAGGTGTAGAATCACTTGAGGACTTGATGGGACAATAGTATGCAATGCCCCATTCTTTTGACCGGCTAGACTTTGAATCTCGAAAACCAAGTAGAGGGGACTTACGTTAGGGATGCCGAGAGTGCACCAGGTTGATGAAGGCGTGGCTGGCCCGCTCGAAAGCCTTCGTCCACAAGCACTGGAAGAAGTTTAAGAAGGGGCTGTCCAAGAGTTTGCAAGAGGGGATTTTGGCTTACATCAACTGTGGGGTGAGGTTCGAGATGGAGGAGGCGATAGCTGGGCGTGAGGAGATACAGGAGGGGAAGGGGGATATGATGGCATTGTGGCAGTATCACGGCTGGAAGTATGCCAATCTGAGTGACCTTGCGTGCCATGTGCTATCGCAGCCCGTTTCTGCCGCCTCGTGCGAGCAGAATTGGGCTGTTTGGGAATGCGTGCACACGGCGCGTAGGAACATGCTCGGGTTGGAGAATGTGCGCGACCTTGTGTGCGCGGCGCTCAAGGAATGTTGTGCACAACCATCACAAGGGTGCGGCTGTTGCAGGGTGGGAAAGGAGGGGGGGGGGGGAGGGAGTGGGTGGATTGCGAAGGGGAACATTCCCACCCCCCTCTTTTCCCCTAGGAGTACAAGTTGGAGGAGGACGTGGAGGTGGAGGTGGTTGAGAACGACGTGTGCGTGGATAAGTACGAGAAGGAGGGCGAGAAGGCATGATTGCTATAGTATACTTCATTTGACCGATTGTGACTTCTGGGGAACTTATATTATGGTGAAAAAAACTTTGTAGGGATTTAATTTGCTCAAATGTGTGGGTGGGGTACATGCCGTGATGACATTAAGGCAAAAGGCGAAAGCAAGAACCATACGGCCTCACCGATGGAGAGGCGTACATGAGAGATTGCGAGCGCATGGCTTAAGAGTTCCATGAAGCTTGAAACCTGGTGCTTCTTCCATTAGCCAGCCAGCTCCCATTCCCCCATGTTATCGTGTCATTGTCTCTTCCTTGTGCAGGCAATTCGTCTGTCAACGGGTCATCACCACCATCCACCCCTTCCCCTCCACCACCACGACCACCATCACGACCACCATCACATTCACCGTTGCCACAAACACCATCATCAGCACCACCACGACCACCACCACGACCACCATCACACTCACCGTCGCCACCACCACCACCATCACATTCACCGTCGCCACCGGCACCACCATCAGCACCACCATCAGCACCACCATCAGCACCAGCACCATCATCAGCACCACCACCAGCACCATCATCAGCACCACCACCAGCACCATCAGCAGCAAGTTCAAAGCCAGACACCTCCTCAGAATCACCTCCGACAGGCCAGCCGTCCTCTGCAGGTGAGTGCCCCAGCCTCGTGCAACACCACCTTGAGGCTCTCTCTTTCCTTGCAGCCCGAGCTCCACGAGCCACGCATGTCCTCACGCCAGTGCTTTCAGGATGGTGCACCACATGCCGATCGTTCGTGGCCTCTTAGCAATAAGCTGTGTGCTGGCACCGCTTCGTGCACGGCATGGCATCCCCTTTCGCTCGACTCCATCCTGTTCCACTGGCCCCTGATTTTCCTTCACCTTCCCAGATCAATCACCAGGCATGTCGACGGGGGTTATAGCAGGGATTGTGGTCGGCATCGTTTGTCTTGTGCTGCTCGTTGGCCTGGTTGGTTTCTTTGTGTGGCGACGTCAGCAGCGCAAGGAGCATCACGAGAGTGCTGCGATGCAAGAGGCTCTGAAGGCAGGAACAGGAGACAATGATGGGGAGGGTGGTCGACCAGGTATGGAGACAGAGGAGGTTCTGGTTGACAAAACTGGAGCCGGCATTGTCACTGAATTTCGAGTATGCTAACAATATTAGCAGCATGGCTTGGAGGTCAAGTCTGGTATTTCCAGATCCAATAGCGTTGATTTAACTTGTTGGATGTCTTCATAGCATCTCTTCCCCCACCCTCCCGTTTTTCCGTTCCTCTCCACCTACCTTGCGCAGCCCCAGCAGCATTATCAGCAGCAGCAGTCCCAGCAGCAGTCCCATCAGCAGCACGTGGCCCGGTGGTGTGTCGGGAGCTGGCGTACTGGGAGGTGGTGGAGGCAACGAGGGAGTGGTGGGCAGGCAACCTGATCGGGCACGGGGGCTACGGTGACGTGTACCGGGGAGTGGCACCGTCGGATGGCACCGTGTGGGCTGTGAAGCGTGCCCGCGTCATCACCAAGGACTTCCGCCGAGAGGTGCGTGCGTGCATGCAGAGGGCAAAGGCTGGGAATTCAATCACCAAGGACTTCCGCCGAGAGGTGCGTGCGTGCATGCAGAGGGCAAAGGCTGGGAATTCAATCACCAAGGACTTCCGCCGAGAGGTGCGTTCGTGCATGCAGAGGGCAAAGGCTGGGAATTCAATCACCAAGGACTTCCGCCGAGAGGTGCGTGCGTGCATGCAGAGGGCAAAGGCTGGGAATTCAATCACCAAGGACTTCCGCCGAGAGGTGCGTGCGTGCATGCAGAGGGCAAAGGCTGGGAATTCAATCACCAAGGACTTCCGCCGAGAGGTGCGTGCGTGCATGCAGAGGGCAAAGGCTGGGAATTCAATCATGGTGGAATGTCGCTGCTGTGATGAGGATGTGTGCTTGTGCAGGTGGGAATTCAATCACCAAGGACTTCTGCCCAGAGGTGCGTGCAGTGCAGGTGGTGTGGTGTACAGAGTGCAAGCGCAAACACTGGGAGTTCAATTATGGTGTAATGGTGCTGCTGTGAAGGATGTGTGCTTGAGCTTATGGGAGGAAGCGTTCAGATCTTTGGACGAATCTATGTGCACTTGGGTGTACTAGTGCATTCACCACTCACACCACCTGGCGTGCTTGCTGTCCAACCCACCCCGCATGGTGGTGCATGACGTGGCATGGTGCATCGCGTGGCATGGTGCATGACGTGCCATGATGCATGGCGTGGCATGGTGCATGACGTGGCATGGTGCATGACGTGCCATGATGCATGGCGTGGCATGGTGCATGACGTGGCATGGTGCATGACGTGGCATGGTGCATGACGTGCCATGATGCATGGCGTGGCATGGTGCATGACGTGGCATGGTGCATGACGTGGCATGGTGCATGACGTGGCATGGTGCATGGCGTGGCATGGGCAGGTGGAGCAGATGGCATCGAAGCACCACCCGCACCTGGTGCGGCTGCTGGGGTACTGTGTGCACATGGATGCGCGCACGGAGCAGCACGAGCAGATCGTCGTCTACGAGTTCATGCCCGGGGGCGACCTGCAATCCTGCATGCCCGCCTACCTCGCTGACGCCGCTCACAAGGGTGGGGAGTGCGGGATGGGCGGGGAGTGTAAGAAGGGTGAGGAGTGTGGGAAGGGTGTGGAGTGAGGGATGGGTGGGGAGTGCAGGAAGGGGGAGTGAGCGAGGGAAGGGTGGGGAGTGAGGGAAGGGTGGGGAGTGTAAGAAGGGTGGGGAGCGTGGGAAGGGTGGGGAGCGTGGGAAGGGTGGGGAGCGTGGGAAGGGTGGTGAGCGAGGGAAGGGTGGGGAGTGTTGGGAGGGTGGGCTGTGTGGGGAGAGTGGGCAGTGTGGAAAGGGTGGGGAGTGTAGGGAGGTTGGGAAACTGGACAGAGATAGCTTGCTGTGCTGATTGAAGGTTGGTGTGCACATACGGTGAATCTAAGGGTGCAAGTGCAAGTGTGCAGGTACAGGCGCAAGTGCAACTGCAGACGGCCAGAACCCTCATACGCCTGCATTATCAACCCCCTTCCTCAGCGCCCTCAACAAGCACCCTCCCACCGCTAACCCCACAGCCATTTCCATCGTGTCTCTCCCTTCCCCTCCTCCCATCGCACACACACTCACTCACAGGCGTCACACGGGCGCCTCTGTCGCTGCAGCAGCGCGTGCAGGTGCTGGTGGGAGTGGCGCGTGGGCTGCAGTACCTGCACAGCTTTGGCATCGTGCATCGCGACATCAAACCCGCCAACATCCTGCTCGATGACCACATGACGGTCACCACACACACAGGGATGCACGCACTCTGGCACGTACGCCATGCGTAGTGCACGCAATGACAAATCACCCAGGCAATGTTCACTATGACTCGTTGTCCTGTTCTACCAGTGATGATTATCTCTTGCATGTACGTTAATCTTCTGTAGACTTGGTTTCTATTGTGGCGTGAGTAGCCTTCCATCTGCCTCATCTTCCTTTTCTTTCCACGCTGTATTCTGCCAATACGCCTCTGGCCTCCATCGCGGCAGGCCAAGGTGGCGGACTTTGGGCTGGTGAGGATGGGCGATGAGAGCACGGGGGACACAACGCGCATTCTGGGAACACCGGGCTATGTGGACCCCGCATACTCCAAGTCGCGCAAAGCCGCCCCCTCCAACGACGTCTACAGGTGGGTCGCGCCTGCTGCTACGGTGCTATGAGTGACAGCCGGTGGTACAGTGCGGTGTGCTTGGTGGAATGATGGTGGGTGGTGTGTGCTCTCCTCGTACCAGCAAGGGTGCGAATCTTGAAGATTCCTCAAGTCATGTGCCACTTAAGTGGTGGTTCTTAGGTAGTGCAGGCTGGTGTGCACTGTGGGTCTTTCTGGTGCATGGATATTAACCCATGCCGCACCACTGTCCACTCCTACTATTTGCCCTTTCTCCAATTTTTATTTGACCGTGTCTCCACCTCATTCCTTTCCATGCTTCCATCATGCATCACCAGGCAATGGAACCCATGTTGCGCCTTCCATTTGCTTTGTAACATCGTGCCCAACGACGTTGGTGTAACGTGCTGCAACCCCTGGCATGTGGCATTGTATGCATGCTGTGTGTGGCATTGGTGGGAATGGTGTGTGCACATGGCATGAGCAGCTATGGCATAGTCATGCTAGAACTCTTCACATCCCAGAGAGCAATTGTGCAGGAGGGCGATCACAACATCAACATCAGGCAATGGGTAATCTCAGCACTTTGCACTATTTCAATACGCCATTTTGAGTCTCGTTTTGCCCATTTATCCAACCAATCCTCCCCCCCCTCCCCCCTCCCCCCCCCCTCCCCTTTTCTCTCCTGCCCCTCCCTCAGCAATAGCCCATAGCCTGAAATTGTCTAAACTGGTTGTTGCCTTTTGCAATGCATGCCCTTGCAGGCGGAGCCGCTGCTGGCGGCGGGGGATGCTGAAACCCTCAAAGACCCATGCCTTGATGCTCCGCCTGAGATCATTCTTCAACTAACCCAGCTGGCCCTGCAGTGCACAAGCATGCCTGTATCAAGCCGACCTCACATGGACCAGATTGTTGTCAGACTATCTGAATTGTACACAAAGCTATTCAGGTCTGACGTGGGTGCAAATGGGGAGTCCGTTGACTCGATTCTTGAGCGGATTCAGCATCCAAATTACTCGTTAGATGAGGCGATTGCAATGGCTGGTGCTGCTGGTAACCAAGGTTCCGACTAGCACTATTCTATATCTTCTGGGCACTGGCATTCCTACAGTTGTAAGTTTAATAAGCCTCACGAAGTACACCATAATCCCCCATATGGTAGACCCGCCCGTATGAAGCACTTGGGTCCGTTATACAGTATTCGGGATGTTTTTCTATACAGGGACCTCGATAGCAACGCTCTCCTTTTTATGTATGCTTAGGTTCAGCTTTGCACTTGGTGAAAATATCAGCCACCTAATGTTGGGTCTTGAATCTTGATTATCTTCAGCCGCACGTCCTTCTCGAGGAGCCTCCTCACCTAATGCCACTTAGGCCTGATTTGTTTCGTTCAGATCTCCTCTAACGAATGTCTCACTCATACCACCTCCTTTGCCCCATGACGAAGGGCCGTACTTTTGCTCGAGTAGAGAAGCATCTTGCTAATGATGAGACTATTGCTGCTGCTGCTGCTGCTCCACCTCAACTGCTCCCCCATCCCCAGTCGCCCCAAATATCTCATCCTCGAAGACAGAAACCTCTACCTGTCTCGAAAGCTGCTGCACCTCATCGGCATTAATAATGTGCGGTGTAGTAGGAAGCTTCTCCTGCTGGTGCTTCCGCTCAATACAGGATTTAAGGAACTTTTCATCCCTTGACACAGTCAACCTCTGGCTGGTCAAGTCCCATAGCATCCAGCCTTTATGATCCTTGACAATGCCCAAATGCACACCCCATTTTCCAAAAGCTTCTAGTTTTCATCTCTTCTCCTTAGAAATATGAAACACCACCATAATGGAACATGAAACACCACCATGCACCCACTAGTTCCCAGCATGTTCACATCATGCCACTCCCATACCACTTGATGTAGGTGTTGGGCTGAGAAAAGCCCTTAGGATCTTTGCGGGGGTAAAACTCCGGTAGGACTATGTAATAGCGGAAGCGTATTAGTGGAGAATTTGTGAACCACCTTGCGCTGGTATGTGAGGGCAAAGTAAGTTGATTATAGCAAAGGGATACAAGAATATATAGAAGATTACAAGGAATACGAAAGGATATAGTTGTAACTACTTTTGCTGTTGCGGTTCGATACAGTGACGACTCGGGCAACTGCTCTGTAACGAGTCAGTTGTGTGTCCTTGCTGTCGCGCTGCACTTGTCAGGTCAAAGGTCGCTTGACCTTTGACTTTCGCGTAACCTCCAGCAACCTCTTTTAACCTCCGAGGGTTGACTCGCGGGTGCTTCGATGTGGCGTGCTTCGCTTCTGGTGTGGTGTTTCGACACGACAGAGGCGTTTACAATTTATTGTTTCCAACAGTAGGGAACCCACTACTTGTCCTTGATAATTGCCAGCACTCGGTTCTTCACAAGAGCAATCTTTCAAACTATATATGTAATGTTAGGGTGTAGGCTGTAGTGGGGTAGCCCATGTGGGGTACAACACTTGTTAGGGTTTGTATTTGTACCCAAACTTCCCAATAGTCAATCATTCCTGCCTGTAGTTTCTGACATGGTTTCAGAGCAGTAGGTCTGTAGGACCGTCCTTTTTTTTTTCTGGCCCACCTACCGCTACTCCACGCCTGTGACTGTGACTGTGCCTGTGACGTGCTGCTTCGCGCATAGACCTAAGCCCTGCGCGCGCTGCCCGCTTTTGCCCCGCGCGTCGCCCTCACTGCTCGCGCCGCGCCTTGGCAGCCCGCGCGCGGCTCGCTACTGCCCCGCGCTCCGCCCTAGCTGCTTGCGCCACGCTTCGGCAGCTCGCGCGCGGCCCGCTGCTACCCCGCGCACCGCCTGCGCAGCTCGCGCCGAGCCTCGGTAGCCTGCACGCGGCCTGCTGCTGCCGCGCGCACCGTCTGCGCAGCCCGCGATGCGCCTTGGCAGCCTACGCGCGGCCCGCTGCAGCCCCGCACGCCGCCCTACCTGCTCGCGCCGCGCCTCTGCAGCCTGCACGCGGCCTGGTGCTGCCCCGCGCGCTGCCTGCGCTGCCAGCACATTGCCGAGACAGCCCACGAGCAGCCTGCGGCTGCTTTGCGCGACGCCCTTGTCGCTCGCGCGCTTACTCTGCGGCCCCGCGCACAGCCTCTCTGTGCCTGCTGCCTTTGCCTGCTGCCTTTGCCTGCTGCCTTCGCCTGCGCTGCGATTATGGCGACGCTTAATGTTCTCGCGTTTGAGCCTGACGGTCGCCCGATAGAGTTTGCCACGTGGCTCGACGATCTCCAACTGTTTCTTATTACTGGTGCCAAAGACGGCATTTCAGTGTTCAATCACGCATCTGGCACTACCGTTGCTCTTGCTGACGATGCTCCCGCTCTCGACCGTTCACAGTGGTAGACTCGCGATGCTGCCACGCGCCTCGCTATTCGCAATCATCTGCCGATCACTGAGCGCGCGCATTTTAGCCAGCACAAGACTGCTAAGGCACTGTATGACGCTGTAGTTGCGCGCTACTCCTCCCCGGCCACTGCAGCCCTAGGTCGTCTCATGCTACCCTACCTGTTTCCAGACCTGTCCTCGTTTACCACCGCTGAGGACCTCATCTCTCACCTTCGCGCTAGTGACGCTCGCTTTCGTGCCGCCCTTCCAGCCGAGTTCCGCGTTGAGAACCCCCCCCCCCCCCCCCCCCCCCATGTACTTCACTCTCTATTTCCTCGTCACCCGCCTCCTTGACACTCTTAGCTCCGTTAAGGACCACTTCCTCTCCCTAGACCCTACCACTCTCACTGTCGCCGACTTCGAGAAGCACCTCCTAGCAGCCAAGAAGAACATCCTCGCTGTAGGTGCTGCTCGTGGCACTCCTCGCACTCCCCTCTTTGAGGGGTGCTCCCCCTCCCCTCTTGCCCCCTCCTACGCCTCTGCTGCTGCTGCTATCGACTTCCTTGGTGCTGAGAAGGTCGCAGCTGCTTCCGCTCCTAGGGGGAAGCGCAGCGGCTCCAGGGGAGGCAGGGGCGGCAGGGGGCGTCTGGGGGTCCTGGTCGCTGCCCCTATGTCATTCCGCAGGTCCCAGCGCTAGTCGCCCATGCAACGGCTTTCACACTGAGTCCCGCTGCTTCGCTCGGCTTAGTGACACCTGGCGCGCCAAGTTTCCTGATGCTACTGAGTTCCCCAACTGGGCAGACCTGCTTAGGCGTGATGTTCCTATCTTTGATCTTGACTATGATGCAATTCTTGCTGCCATGTATGCATTGACTGTTAGTGCTGAGGGTGATTGCTACTTGTGTGTGCCGCCTGACCCCAATATAGACCCAGGTATAGCGCCTGCAGCCCTAGGTGCTAGTGAGTCTGCCCTCTCTGGTACTGCGTCAGCTCAGGCCTGGCACACATTTATACTTTACTCTGGTGCTTCCCGCTGTTTCTTTCGCGACAGCACCACAGTCACACCCCTCCCTGCATCTGTCCCTATCTCACTGGCTGACCCCTCTGGGGCCCTAGTGCTTGCATGGTCCACTACTGTGCAACCATGTCCGACGGTCCCGTCCGGTGAGCTGTCAGGTCTCCACCTCCCCTCGTTCTCTACGAACCTGGTGAGCACCGCCGTCCTTCAGGATTACTGGGTTGACACTTATACACCTGGAGGACAGCGGGTAACACACTGCACGTGCTCTCGGACCGGCCGCCACCTGGCCACGTTCACACGTGCGCCTGGGTCCAGTCTGTACACCCTCACCGCTGTGTCGCGTCACGCCCCTTTGTCTCCTCAGCTGTACGCGTCTGCTCAGGTAGCTACCCAGTGTGAGTGTCGCCGCCTGTCACACCAGACTCTCCTTTGGCACCACCGCCTTGGTCACCCCTCCCTGCCTCGCCTTCGTGGCATGCACTCTCGCTCCCTGGTCTCTGGTCTTCCCAGGTCTCTGCCTGCCCTCCCTCCCTCGCCTGCGCCGCCCTGCATTCCTTGCGTCGAGGGGTGGCAGCGCGCCGCTCCTCACTCCTCCTCGTTTCCTCCCACAGAGGCTCCACTTGTGACTCTCCACCAGGACGTGTGGGGCCCAGCCCGCGTCCAGGGACAGGGCCGCGAGCGGTACTTCCTGCTGGTTGTCGACGACTACACGCGTTACACCACGGTCTTCCCCTTGCAGCGCAAGGCGGATGTCCCTGCTGTTCTGATCCCTTGGATCTGCGCTGTTCGTCTCCAGCTCCGCGAGCGGTTCGAGTTGGACTTTCCTGTCCTGCGTCTGCAGTCTAACAGAGATGGTGAGTTCATCTCCGACCTCGAGCCTACTGTGCGGAGCACGGCATCCGCCAGTCGTTCACGCTTCCGACCTCTCCGCAGCAGAACGAGGTTGCTGAGCACCGCATTGGCTTAGTCATGGAGGTCGCTCGTACCTCCATGATCCATGCGGCGGCTCCCCATTTCCTGTGGCCGTTTGCGGTCCGGTACACCGCGCATCAGCTCAACCTCTGGCCTCGTGTCTCCTTGCCAGAGACCTCGCCCACACTGCTGTGGACGGGGAAGGTTGGCGATGCGTCGCGTTTCCGGGTCTGGGGTGCTCGTGCCTTTGTCCGCGATACCACCGCGGACAAGCTCTCCCCTCGCGCCATTCCCTGCGTCTTCCTTGGCTTTGTCCCTGACGCACCTGGCTGGCAGTTTTACGACCCCACCTCGCGCCGTGTCTTTGCATCTCAGGACGTCACCTTTGACGAGTCAGTCCCCTTTTACCGTCTCTTTCCCTACCGCACTGCCCCCCCCCCCCCCCCCCCCCCCCCCCCGCGGCCCTTTCTCGCTCCAGGTCCTCCCCAGGTAGACCCCCTCCCCGCGCCAGGTCCTGCTCCTTCAAGTGTTTCTCAGGTAGACCCTCCCGTGCCTACGCTTGTTGAGGTCACTGGTGACTCAGGTCCTGCTGGGGGTGGTCCTACTCGGGGTGCTATCTGAGTCTGGGGGTGCGGAGTCTGGGGGTGCTGAGCCTGGGGGTGCGGAGTCTGGGGGTACTGAGCCTGATCGTGAGGAGCCTGAGGGTGCTAGGCCTAGAGGTGCTGAGCCTGAGCGTGAGGAGACTGGAGGTACTGCGCCTGGAGGTGCTACGTCTGGGGGTGCTGA